AAAAGGCGTGTGGGAGAGAAACTCCCTCTGGAGGGAGCTTTAGGATGTTAGCCTTTGCAGACCATTTACATGCACACAAACATAACACACTACAGGAAAGGGAAACCCCGAAAAGCAATAGGGCCTCTTTGAAAGCTGAGATAAATGAAAAACATCTCCCCTGCTGCGTGAACACTCACTTTCTCTCTCGTGCATACAGCTAGGCCTATCATCTGTCATACACACAATGACATACACCTGCAGGCTGGCCCACGTATGTACAGAAACATGAACATAAGGTCCTTAACTGACACATGTTACATGTGCATGCTGTCAATGTGGCTGATTAACACCTCAGCACAGCCAATTCAGCAGACATAACACAAGTGGGTAAATGCACACACACACACACACACACACACACACACACACACACACACACACACACACACACACACACACACACACACACACACACACACACACACACACACACACACACACACACACACACACACACACACACACACACACACACACACACACACAGGGGGTTGTTTGGAAAGTTACTTTATTGATCACTTTTAAATTGGAAAATAATTACCTTTTGAGAGCCAGGTTTTCATCTCTATTTACAATCTAGTTAATTAGCGCTATGTGACAATATGGATGTCAACATGCCATATGCATATGGACACTTATATAGATACAAGAACAAGTAATGACTATATAAACACATGTCAAAACAATGGGTATTGGGAAGATTTCTTATCTATTAAAGTCTCATTAAATCTCCGTACTCATGTACGTTTCTGTAGTGCAGATGATTTACTGCGCAGTGACAGATCTGATGTGCAGAGATTTTAACGAGCTGTATTCAGTTACAACAACCGATCTGACGTGTATACATCGGTAAACACCTGCATGTTTATTTCTTGATGTGATAAGATTTTTTTTCTTTTTATATATGTGTTTAAGAATATTGACATTTCGTACAAGCATCTCGTCATTAAATCGTATTTATAGGGATGAACAACAAACCTTGTTCCAACCAACCAACAAACTTTCATGCAATATATTTCTGGTGTCTGTCTAGAGATGTTAGTAATATGTAACTTTGAGTATGCTTACCTTTTTTCCCATTAACATATACATATACATTTTACATTTTCCTGTTTAACGAAGCAATTAATTTCATTATGATACAAATTAATCTAAAACTCGATGTAGGATAATATTGAAGTACTGTCAAAGCATAGATTGCATTTAAATCCATTTTTATGTGGTTGTATTCCTATAGCATTTTTACTGTATTCACACTACAAGCGACAAAGCAGCAAAACGGCCGGCCGCCGGGAAATTCGGGGACAACTGCCTTTTTAGACAGAACAAAAAACTAAAGCATATGATTGGTTGCTGCTACACCACATCATTGGATAGCTGACAAAACCCAAAACACTAACTAATAAGATAAGGATGCAACAACACAACGCTGGTTTACTGAACACAATGAGTACTTTGGGGCAAGAAGTGTCAAAGTTAATCATATCCAAACCATTTATTTAACAGCAAAATGTAAAATAAAACCTTCATAAAATAAAAACAATAAAGTTATTAACAGAGATTCTGAAGAGCTAGTTGTAAAGCATTTTAAAAAGCAGTACAAAGACAAATGATTCTGTACCTTCATTTTAAACTCCAAATAATGTGGCTTTAACTGAAGAGTGGGTATGATTAAGAACTGAATGACAGCTTGCTCTAATAATACATATTGTATACCTGATTAAACCATGCAGTCCTAGTTCTAAGCCATTCAATTGAAGACAAAAGTATTACCGGAAAGTGGTGGAACCATTGAAAAAAAGACCTAGGTTGTGAATAACACATTGTTCCATGGAGTGTTCTTTTCCATGTACCGGTTAACATGTGCTCATACAGTACGGGAAAGTTCGTACATAGCTGTGTGTGAGTCTGTGTGTGTGTGTGTGTGTGTGTGTGTGTGTGTGTGTGTGTGTGTGTGTGTGTGTGTGTGTGTGTGTGTTTGTGTGTGTGTGTTGTGTGTGTGTGTGTGTGTGTGTGTGTGTGCTTGTCTAATGTATGGCCATCAGCCATTTTAACAGTGCTGTAATTGGACCATCAAGCATTTATCTCAGCAAGCAGCAGAGTCCATTATTCAACCATGTGTCACATCTGCAGGACGGGGGTCAAGTCCAGTCCTGTGTGTGTGTGTGTGTTGTGTGTGTGTGTTTGTGTGTGTGTGTGTGTGTGTGTGTGTTTGTGTGTGAGTGTGTGTGTGTGTGTGAGTGTGTGTGTGTGTGTGTGTGTGTGTGTGTGTGTGTGTGTGTGTGTTTGTGTGTGTGTGTGTGTGTGTGTGTGTGTGTGTGTGTGTGTGTGTGTGTGTGTGTGTGTGTGTGAGTGTGTTTGCCAAATTATCTGTGAACAAGCACAAGTGTAGCACCTGTCAGCGTGGAAACACTCAGGACTCTGAAGTGTGTGTGCACGTGTGTATGCACAGGTTATTCCTAAATGTTTAGACTGAAATTTCAAGTCAAGCACAAACACACCCACACACTATCAAACACACACAGACACAGTTTAGACCATTGGCCTTTTAAGAGTCTACGATGTGGATCCAACCTGAGTCCATTCCCTGGGCTGACATCATTTACTAATCCCATCAATTCTCTTGTCATAGACTAAGCCTCTGAGGGTGCAGTATATTGACTGGAAAGAGGATGTGTCCTTTTTCATGTGCCAGTGCAGAGGTTCAACATTTATTTTTTTACTTTTTACATTGGGTCGAGTGGATTGTGGGTAATTTGAAGTCTTAGAGAAACTTTGGGTCATGACAATCCTATCATTTCCCAAATAATCCACCTTAACAGCCGTGCAATTGTACATTTTGTTCTACTCAAGGAGGAATTTTGGTCACTAAAGTCACTCAAAACTCAAATTAATTGACTCTTTGTACACAATAATATCCAATCTATTTTTCCATCCTTTATATCCCGCTACAGAGTTTGCTTTGAAGATTGTTTTTTCTTTTATACGTTAAGGAAAATAGTAAGGGTCAGAAACTGTTCTGTCTGTTAAAATACAATAAAATGATGGTTTAGTAAAGTAGGACAACTTTGGAGAACTTTGGGATCATGTTTAATAACTTCGATAACTTTGGTTAAATCTACACTTAAAGGTAGGGTAGGTAAGTTTGAGAAACCGGCTCGAGTGCGCTGGAATTTGAAAATACACAACCGGAGAAAATCTGCCACTTCCTTATAGAGCCCCTCCTCCAACACACGAACGTGCACATGACCAATGAGGGCACGAGATAAGTTTGTGCACAGATGGAAGGCTGACAGGCAGGTAGGACATCCAGTTATTTTAGCCGGGCCGGCTAAAATGATTGGTCGTACTTTTTACAGTACTACGGCTTCCACAGATGACATTTTTTAATGGATTTTTTGTCAAAGCACTTAAGATATTCATTGCTATCGGGATGTTAAGAGCATTCCATGGAATATAACAAAAAGTGTATCTCGAGCCGGTTTCTCAAACTTACCTACCCCACCTTTAAGATTAAAGAAGAGCTTAAACAATTATAACTTTGTTTCTTGAGGTTAAGGTCATGTTTCAGACATTAAACAAACCAGAATACCTTCAGAGTATGCAGCTTTAAATGTAGGCTGGGGTGTTATTAAAAATAAATGACTCCAAGGCGTTAGTTACCATGACGGTCACATAGTGCCTTGTCTTTGAGCCCAGAACAGTGTGGGAGGAGATATTTCATACGGTGAGATCTCACCACATACCTCCCCCCTCTGTTATAGTCGTTGAAGCCAAAGACATCTTTTCTGACCTACAAAGTTGCAAAAATTACTTTACCTTATTCTAATATTGAGGCTGGCAGGTTGGCTGGATTTTTCTGAGTAAATGTGCGTTTTATGATGAGATTAAATAATTTATGTGAACATGCTCTTACTATAAAAAAAGCAGCAGAATTCATATTTCCACATCCAAAGAGAGATTGACTGCAGATGCTGATATCTTTGCAATTAACACAATTACTGACAATGCATCAACAGCAAATGATGGGGAAAGTATCAGACAGATAACCAAACATCTCTCCCCAGACACAAGTCATGAGATTCAAATGTTGGTTCAATGATAACTGTAAACGTGCACTCTTTGCAAAAACATAAATCACTGAGTACATGTGACGTGCAACAATGATGTACAGATGACTTGACTTATATGATCAAATATGCTAGGGACAGTATACCAAAAGCATCTTATTTCTCACACAAAGCCTTTTTAACAGTCCCATTCTCACCTGAATATGTTCCTGATATATTACTAGATGAATTTTTAGCCATCAAATGCAAGACAGGTGCATACATGAGGACTTCTACTATGGCTCGTATTAGATTTTCAAAGGAATAGAAAAACCTACATTTCAACCACTTAGTGACACAGATATGGCTGTTAAATGTGAGGGCAGCATGAAGCCAATGCCGTTACTCAGGCTTTAACTGCCAAGACGAAATGACATGTGTGCCACAGAGATTAAAATATTAGGTGTTTCATGATTCACACTTTAAAGAAAAACGATGTGTAGCTTCCAAAAACGTATTTGAGTGTTGCTTTGGACAGCATACTGTGTGGCTTTTATCAACAATTCGATCAAAGCTAAAATTGAGGTTTTTTCTAACATTGGATATCTGCTTTTAAAGACGTATTTCCATGTTTTAATGGATACACATAATAAAAGATCATAATATATTTTTTAACATTTCTTTTGATTAGGCCTTTTGTGTTTTGTACCTTATTACTATAGCATAAGTATTTCCCTAGAATGTAACTGTTCAATCATACCAATACTGGATATCCCACATCCATTTTTCAAGTGTAGCCTTAGTCATAAGATGCATTTGGAAAACTACTGAGAACCAGGAAATGCCAGGTGAGATTCACAGTGAGGGGAGGAGTGGATGGGTTGATGTCTAGAAGTAAACATACAATACCCCACGCTCAGAGTTCTCCATGTGTGAATCTCTCTATCGGAGCAAGCGCAAGGCAGGTACAGGAAGGGGTGGAGCCAAAGACAGGAAACAGGAAGATAGAGAGAGACATTAAAGGGCATGAGACTCGAGTCAAAGAGGCTGTGATGAGAAACTCTAGACATCTGTACACTGAGCATACTGAATCCAAATGGAGAGGTGCAGGAATGAGTCCGAGAACCTTAGTTAGCATTTTGCTAACTCCCTCGTCTCGAAGTCAACGTTTTTGTGAAAGTGTTTTACGGTAGTAAATAGCCCACTGGTGGATTTACGAAGCTTCTTAGTGACTAAATGTGACTACTAAACATCATCAGGCTGAACATCAGCCGCCGTTAGCTTAATGATGCTAAGCTAAGCGTCCGTGATGTTTACATTAGCTTTTTACTTCTGGCAATTGCATTTATGCTTCAACTAATATAAAGTGGTAATCAGATTATCCTGCGTTAAATTGTGTTAACCACCAATTTTATTTTCTGCAACATTCGAGAATCCAATGGAACAAATCCATTTGCTTTTGGTCGAGGGAGCACTTGCAATGCTAACTTCGGGTCGGCCTACAAAAATAGGTCATTAATGCACCACTCTTTAACACTGCAGCTCTCTTTTCTGTTGTTGTCTGCAGATATGGTAGACTTACTACAACATGTTGTTCTCAGGATGAATTCCTGTTGGCACAAAATAACCTTCCTTGTATTATTTTCTGGAAAAGAACCAACGTCATGTCTGTCTGACACTGACAATAAACTGGAGGCTAAAACAGTTGTACTCTCATTCACAATCCCTTTTGTTAATCCTTCAACATGACATATACACATACACACACATTGGTGTGTAGCCTATGTCTGGAAAACAATGAAAAATAATGATCTGTGAAGGGCTTGAGATGGGTAGAACAGATTTCATTTGATGTTCATCTGTTTAGGCAGCCATGAAAAGATCAGACCTGCCCCATATGGGTTGCAAAGCAGACTTTCTCTTGCAGAATACATAACAAAAGTGTGCCAGTGTGTGGGACTTTTGTAGGTTTTCATTAAGAGTGCTGATAGAATTCTCAAAATGGCCCCAGGAACCCTTCGCAAAGAGTCAGGAGACACTGGAAACATGCATATAGAAGTGGACAGGAAGCCGTATTTAGCAGAGGAATTGAATTTTACCCAATCAGTCTTTAAATCTGAACACATCCTGTTGTCACTCGTGTTGAGGAAATGTTCACTCAAACAGACTTCAAAGAGAAACCAGTGAATCTTTTATTTCAAAGTTATTCCAATATTGAGTTTAAGGAGCTTTTCTCTCTGCCAATTCAGTTGGAAAACACAATATTAAGTTTGCAACACTTGTTTGACTGATACTCATTCTTCTTTCAGAACAAACGAAGAACAGTTTTTATGTACTTGTACATTATGGTTTGATTCAAAAAATGGGAAAAACAACAGAATGAAACATATCAAAAGTAACCATGGGATGTTTGCTTATCATTGTACCCATTGCTGTTAAGATGTTGAGAGCCAGAGAAGGATGTGATTGGTGTACTGGAATGATGAGCCTGGAATCAATGGATGTATGATTTGGCAGCAAGACAACGACAATTTGTGCAAAAAGTATTATTCTGTGAATGTGTTTACATTTGTTGAAACACAGTTTTGAAAAAACAGTTGAGCTTCTTTATATTTGATCAATTTAAGCACTAAGTAAAAGCACACTTTCCCTTACAGTACAAATGTGTTCAGCTTTTCCTTAGAACACCAACATCCTGTCCCTTGTGTTATTTTGTCAGGGAATAATGACAAAATGTTCAGATCTTAGCTTCTACACTCAGGCATTCATTTTACAGCCACCAGCGCTTGTGATAAACAAATCAAAAAAACAGCCATCTGTATTTGCCCACACATTTAGTGTATATGTATCCTTATTTATACTTTAGCATAACATATTTACTGTTTAAGACCATTTGTTCTCAGTGTTCTAATGGTAATCATCTCGCAAAACTACCCTGTATTACATGTTATAGCCCCTTTAAGCTAAGGTATCCTATTCTTTGTAGCAGTCAAGGACTTGTAGGAAAATAGTTATAGTCTTAGTAATGCTTTGAATAAAATGTGTGAAAAATATGTGTTTTATTGTAAAGATATTCAGAACTGTTGTGAATATTTCTGTACCATTAGGAACTTTCTTGAAGTAAAAATTGGTTTTAAGGACGCAGAAGAGACATCAATATTTGTGTGAGTGTTTGGCTGGGGGCAGTGTTTCCGTGTTTGCAATCACAGATCCATCTGGAGTTCTCCCCTTCTCAATCTGTGTGTGTGTCCACGTGTGTAACAATCCATGCCTCTAACCATGTCAATATTGGCTTCAAATGCCCAAGGAGGATTATCAGGCCATCAGCAAACACACACACGTGCGCACACATACACACACACAAACTCCCTCACACACACAGATGGTGATATTGCACTGACTTGCCATATGACAGTCGCACTTTATATCCAACCATAAAAGCAGGGGCAAAAAAAAGTCACTACTTGGCGGAAAAACATACAGAAACCAAACAAACACACTTAATACAATCTTGAAGCGATAGTCAAGATCACTAGTGTGTGTTTTAATATGTATTCATGTGTAGCTGTGTGTATATTTAAATTGCCTTTGTGTGTTTGCATGCTCATTAACCCAAAATGCAAATGTTGGTCCACAAACCAATCTTTGAAAATATCTTTGTGTCATTCTGTGGTTTTACTGTTTCAACAGCAGCAACAGACGCGTGATTGTGTGTGCATGTGTGTGTGCGTGTGTGTGTGTGTGTGTGTGCGTGTGTGTTTCCGCTAGGATTTTTTCTTGCCGGAATGTTCAAATGTTCAAATGTCCGGAAATAATTTATTTTACCGGACAAATTTGAAACTTACCGGTCATGTTTCAATAATAATAATAATAATAATAATAATAATTGTGTAGCAGAGTTTCCGTTAGCAGGTAATTACCGGACTATGACCGGATATGCTGATGTTTAAAACTCAGTTAATGGGAGTCATTTTTATATTGCTTCAGTTTATAATCGTAACAGATCAAAAAATTCAGATTCATTTTTCAATAAATGATTCCACAAACAACAAACAACATAATTATTACATTCAAACAAACTACTTGTAGTAGATGAAGTACATTATTCAAAAGTTTACATTAACTTTGAATAATAACGGATCCTCTCTTTTCCTCTCTCCCTCTCTCTCCTGACAGACCGTCAGTTTCTCATGCAGCGCGCTAAACAGTGGGCGGGGCTTCAGGTGATTATGCAGCAGCTGATCTGATCTCTCTCTCTCTCGTCCGGTTATACTTCACTCGCGTTTATGTCCATATCGATCAGATCCAGCTCTCCTGATCGGCCTTTATAGAGAGCACAGATCAAACTATTAAGAGTGAATATCGGCCGATAATGATCGGCGGCCAATCGATCGGAGCATCCCTAATTATTACCGGACATTTTGACCGGCAGGTTTTGAATTTACCGGTTTTGAATTAATTCTACCAGCTAAAAAACGGTAATTACCGGCTAACGGAAACCCTGGTGTGTGTGTGTGTGTGTGATTGGTGTGTATAGTACCCATCTTTGGTGTGTACTAATCCTTTGTCTAGCAGCATCAGTAGCCTGTGGCAGGCCTGTTGCTCTCAGATAACATCCAATGTCCCTCTGTAGTCCCTATTAGTGATGTGTCGGTCGCGAACGAGCCGATTCTTTTGAACGGCTCTTTGGTACGAACGAGGGGAACCGAGTCGTACTTGGTGAGAGCCGTTCTTCTTATCGTTCAATCAAAGTTGGTCCGCACTCACTGCCTGCCAAAATTCACTCGCCTTTTAAAAAGCTTGATTTTGTTCCCCAAACGTATTCTGTGAAGACCCGCCCCTACTCTGATTGGTAGGTTTCAGCACGAGGAGTTAGGTGGGGTGGGTCTTAACGGAATACGCGAGAGAGAGAAGTCATAACAAGTGGTACTGGACAGATAGACGACGTGTTTTTCGGATGGAAAATGAGCCAAACGCGAAAACGCAGCAGCATTTGGATGCACTTCAACCAAAACCCAGGCAGTGATAAAGCGCACCATTTGTAAAGGCAAAATATCCTTTAAAGCAGGGTCAACAAATAATCTCCATCGCCACTTAAAAACACACTACTAATATTAAGAGTTGCGTGAATTTCATTCAAGGCAAGGCAACTTTATTTATTTAACACATGCAGAGGGTAAATTCAAAGTACATTCACTGACATGAATGACATGGATATGGCGCCACCTTGTGTCATGTTTACAATGCAGATTATTGACATTAGGTCTGGCAATGCAGTCAATCATTATCCTGGTGATTATTTCGCAGATAAACCTAGTAACCCCGCCCCCTTTTTTAAAAAACGGCTCTTTTGAACGGCTCTTTTGAACGGCTCTTTGAAAGGAACGGAGCCATAAGATCCGGCTCCCTTCAAAGAGCCATAATTCCCATCACTAGTCCCTATGTGTCATCATGATTCATCATGTCACAAGGGGCAGTGTTGTTGTGCCATTACCTCACAACTGACCAATCACTTCCCGTTTATCTATCATGGGCTAATCCAGGTTAGAATTCATTTCAATGTCCGTAACTTTAACCATCCTATAGTTCTTCCTTTGGACTGAATTCAAATTATGTAATATACAAATAGATAACCTTCCTGAAGTGAAATAACAAGAACTATAGTTGCTATGGCTCCATAGAGTTAAAGGGGCCCTATTATGCAACTGTTCAGCTTGATATATGTTTTGTTTGCCTGCTGTTTCCATGCTTTCATGTTCAATAAGCTCTTATTTTTCTCATAATGCCTGTGCTTTACCACCTATTTTTACCCTCTGTCTGAAACCAGAGACCAGTCTGCTCTTGTACTTTAATCAAAATCGCAATATTGACAAGTTCTAAATCCTAATTAACCAAATTAAGAATTGCGGTGCTGCAGGGACATCACAATCTGCAAATTGTATTAAACAGACTTAATACAAAATCCTTGACCCATGATCTTTTTTATACATCTTTCAAGGAAAATGTGATTACATTTTTGAATAGGATCATTCCTTCTCATAGGAAGTATTATATTGTTATTTGCAATAGCTGTCAAATCATGCAGCCCTAGAGTTCACAGTGCTGATTGTCACAGACTGGTCAAACACAAGTTTGGAGCCTGCTTGGATTGATAAGACTTTGACAAACACTATTTGTCATAGGCTTTGATATTATGACAAGGCAGAAGAAAGCTCTGGTAATTTATTTGTGTTTCCTTGACTATCTGACAGGTTTAAAATCAGTGAGATAAAGTGTAACCTCATCTATGTGCTATTTCTTTGAGATGTTTATTTCTAAGCCATTACACCAAGTAGGTCGATCAAGGCAGAGTCTCTCTTTGACCTACCATGAAAGCAGAATTAAAGCTTCAAATATAATACAATCACAAAACATGTCTGCAGGGTCTGAATTTTAAAGTGTTTTGATGAAAGGAAATAGAGGTTCAAGAAGTTGAAATAACATATTTTTCCATCAATTTGGAGTTGCAGAGACGTCACCTTTTCTCCATTACTTAGCGGAGGTCTGCTGCTCAGGCATAACACACACACAGAAAAGAAGCAGCGAGTGTTTAGGGAGCTTCACTAACATTCATTATTCATCCATTCTCCTCTCAACCTTTTTATGAAAAGTGTATCTTCTGGTGCCGGCTGTATGAGCCCTCGGGGCCACATGGCTGTAGAAACATCGAATCCCCATTAAGACTTCAGCCATGTCCGGCGTTATTCACTTTTACATTGCATTATTAGCAACACCCTCCTGGCTTTTCTTGAGAAACAAAGTCCATTTGGAACACGTGTAACGGCGTTCTGAAAGATTAATTGGACAGTTGTGCGTGCTCACTTCACGACAAAGTGTTGTCGCAGCATAATTAATGGGCTCTGAAAGGCATGTAAGACACTTTCAATTTAAAAAACACTTTTCTTTGACCCGGACGACTGGCTTCAGTGTGTGGGATGAAATATAGATGACCTCGAAAGCGGTCTATGATATGGTAAACCTCCCACTGTCCGAATCTATTTGTCTGCATGACTTTTATCAGTTTTCTTTCTCTGAGCATCATTGTCTTCCTCACTTTTCTGGTCTCCATACTATCATCTTCAAGATTGGATATTTCCTTCTTGCAACTTACTTTTAATGTCATCATTATATATGTTCATCCTCAAGAGTATGATCTTCTCTATATCTGCTTGGCTTTCTTTCTATCTGTCTTTTATACTTTCATAGATGCTGAATGTTTCTATTTGAATTGGACACAAACTTTCAGCCTAAATGTTAGCCTGAGTTAGCTTGAGTTAGCTTGAGTTAGCTTGAGTTAGCTTGAGTTAGCTTGAGTTAATGATAACATCTGAGCAGCATCTCAACTGCTTCCTCTTCCTACTCTGGTGGTGGTTGCCCTCTAATTTGCATTTGTATGTATATTATGCCCTGTTATTCTGGTTAGCATGCAATTAGCATATCCATTTGACCCTGACGTTAACCAGCGCTGCTAAGTTTCATTTCTCATACTTTTCCAACATCATACATTTTCATACTTCCTGCCTTTCTTGCTTCTTCTCTCTTATATTATTACCAGCACCCTCTTCTGAAGTCTCTACCTATACCTAACTCCTTGCATTTTCCGGCTCTCTGCTCTATTAGTATCCTCCTGGTGTTTGGGATATAGCCGTAGCAGTTAGCGTCGGATTAGCATTGCTAACTGACCTTTTGCCCTTCCTGACTCTCCATCCTCCTTTTTGCTCACTTGAGATGGATGTAATGTTGTAGTCTGACTAGCAATAAGGTATGCAATAGTTTCCCTCACTGTGGTACTGTTCGTGCATGGAGTAAACATTATCTTGTTATCAAACATTATCCTGTGTTTGTTCAAACGGTGTATGAGTGATGATATGTGTATGTATTTTAATGTTTACTATGTTTGTATATGTACATGTACATGCGGAACTGCAGGACGGAGTCCAGAACACATCTCCTTACGGGGACAATAAAGTATATCGTATCGTATCGTATCGTATCTGTATCATAACAATACAGCAGTGATCCAGCTTCTACCTCGATTACAACATTGATCTAGTTTAATAATCTCACACTCACAATGAGCACTTCTAAATGTTAAAACGCTGCACAAAAAGAACGACACTGCAGATTTTACAGGATCAAACGGCCATAAATGTTTGTGTAGTCTTTCTGAAACATGTTTCAAGTCCACACCGTTTTTTCATTTGGATATTCGGTTAAATTAAAGACTCAGCGTTCAACCCCTTGGGCAATCGGATCAAGACATCCACATGCCTTCCATTTTGTTTTGTGGAGCATGTGCGCTTCAACTCCTTACATCACAAAAAAAGTGTGCTTATTACATTTTTTTTGCATTCGAAAATAAATAACTGTCCTTTCCTTCAATTTTGATTTCTCAGCAATGTGAACGTATAAACTGACACCCACAAGAATGACACAAAAAAATCAAACATGTGATTCCTAGCAAATCAAAATGTATAAGCATTATGAAGGTGATGCAGAGAGGGATGGATGAAGTGATGTAGAGAATTAGAGAAAGTAAAGGAAGGCAGGTGATGGTGGCGAGCCAGTGTGCATGTGATCAAAGACACAGAGCGCTGTGTGTCTGGGAACAAAGTTACATCAAACATATTCCAAATATCTAAACCTCTAATAGTGGCCTTTTTTTTGGCTAGAAGGGTTAGAAAATATAAAGTACAGACTTGACTTTTTCTCAATACTAATCTAAACGAAGGGTTTGTGTTGACACGGAAATATTTTCAATTCTCATTAAATCTGCTTTATTAAATATTAAAATGATTTCACCTCCAGATATATTGTCTCCCTTGTACATACATTTCAAATGAAGCATATTTCCCTCTGCATGCCTATCTGCTCATTTCTACCTGCATATCAAATATGAGGACACCTAACATTTACATCTATCTGTCTGTCAATGTATTTGATCTTGTGGTTTAAAGATGTTACATTTAGCATTTTATTCCCCGCCAAATGATATTATACAATAGTAACTATAACAACATGGTCATAAAGATCATTGGTAGCCTCTATTTTATGTCTTTCAAATCCTCTGCTCACCAATTTCAGTTGAGTTTCCAGTGGAAACAAAAGGCCTCTTCTAGTTTTGTAACTAGAACTCAAAATCAATCTCATATTACAGAAGGACCTAAAGTGCCCCTATTCACTACACTGTTAACAACTGTGTGACATCCGAAGAAATTCTAAATGCAATAAAACATTTTGAAACTCCAGCTGAAAACATATTATATATATTTCAATATCCTCATTCTATTGGTAGAAGTTGTTTTACTTAATTGTTTATATATTCATTTATTTAGTTTATATTATTAGTTATCGATGTATTTCCTTTTATTATTTATATTTACTAAATGTGTCTTATATCATTCTTACTGTTACTGAGTGGGTTATATGTTGTTTAACCCTAACCCTAACCATAACCCTATTTAATTTAATTTTAATTAAATATCCTATTTCTGTTTTACTTGTGTTGTGTGCCAAATTGTTGAAGCACTTTGAAATACAGTATATCCTGTGTATGAAAAGTGCTATAAAGATAATGCAATATTTCTTTATTTATATATTTATCCCTAGTACCATTATTAAAGCGCAGCGCAATAGAGACTACCAATTCTTTTGTCTTCGGGTTACGGGAATCTTCTATATAAAATGCTACGCATAACATCCTTAAGTGTTATGATGTGTCCTGATGTCAGGTTGTCACCTACCTGCGTTTGAAGGTGAGGACGACCCCGAGGAGGATGATGATGAACATGAGGATCCCTGCGATCACTCCGGCCATTTTCACCGTGCTGTCCACCTGCTTCTCCGGCTCCATCGCATCCGAGTCCTGGGTAGATGCACCTACACACACACACACACACACAGCCCGTCACACACAAATACACACCGGTATGCACATAGTCACATTGGAATAGGAAACCATATTTGCAAAGCAGTCACACAAAATCAAGCACACAGAGGGGCATGCACACATAAACACAATACATGCACTAACACATATTCACACAGTCATACAGAACACACCGAAGATGGTTTACCCTTGGTAGCCATCCTTGATAAACACACACTCTCTTACAGACACATATACATATGTTAGCCACAAACATACTGGACACATCTGATCCCAAGGTGAAGATACTCTGTTTATACAAACATACAAAGAGTCAAACACAACTCATAAACATCATGCAGATGGATGAACACATCAGGAACATGCTAAACAAAACGTGTGTAGGAACAGAAGAGCTTAGTTCAAAGAAGCAACTTTTTCAAAGGTGACATCTAGTTTTCTTAAGTATTCTTTAAAGACTGTTGTATCCATTTTTGTGAATATTTCATTTTATATCAAAAATAATCTCAGTTTAAGAATTCAGTGACTGAAAGCTTTACATCCTTGAACATGATGGGAAATCACATCCTGAGGATATGTAAGACTTACAGTGCAATGCAGCCATACATAGGTTTCAAAATAAATACAAATGTCCTAAAAACGTTAGCACTTCTTTCATTCCTTGGACCCAAAAATGGATGTGAATCTACAAAAGATAATGAAAAAAATGTCCAAGCAATCAGTCCATAAAGTAAAGGACTTAAGAGATAAATAGAGCGCCAACCATTTTCATGCTACAAGGTTTTTTGTTGGTTTAACAAACATTGAAAACCACTCAAGGACAAACATTGCACAAATGTAGAAGTTATACAAAGACGGTTTGAACTCCACACATGCACATTGAACATTGAACATTGAATAGGCTGGTAAACAAGTGAACACACAGTGGATATGTAACAACACTTGCAAGGTGAATGTGAGGCTTGTGTACAGTGTGGATTTATCAGAAGGACACTATGTATTCAAGCAGGTTTGAGTGGTGCTTCCACTGTACGGGTGGGTGTAAAGGCTGTCAATAGACTACACGAGAGGAGGTGAAGCCATTGAAGGAGTAAGGAAGGAGGAGAAAGATGTGTGACCTCTGGATGCAGAGAGGGGAACTGATCTGCTTGCTGCTTAGTATTCCTCATTTTTAAAACTTGACTGAAGAAACATGTGCTTTTTTGTAAGTTATTTCAAATGATTAGTTTACAAAGGGATCGGATTTGAACCCTGCGTCCCCCACAGCAGGGACTGGGCCTCAGTTCATGTCCTGCCAGCTGTACGAAGTGAGCTATATGGCCGCCTGATAAGTTAATACTTTTTTTTTTCTAACTAAGTTTTCTTTGTTGGCAAATGGTCTACTATTTACAACACATTTATTGTGAGTTGAGTCACTGTATCTTCAAATAATAGTACAAGGAATTATGGTAATTGAGCCCATGGCCCAATGATGAAAGTCCTTGCATTCGCGGCATTACAAACTTGGCGTATGTGACAGGTTTCCCGGGGAAGATCTCAAGCTGTGCACAGTTTTTTAAACAGCAGTGGTTGGTCCATTCAAAGTTCAGGGGAGCCAATGCAACTATATTCAACTCACATTGTATGAAGCGACGTTATGTTTTGGTTTTGTTTTGCGAGTAACAAGTTACTACTGCTGAACAAACAACTGATGTATGAGATTTCAACAACACATAATCCTTCGCAATCATCGAGTATGAGAATGCATGGAAACTAATACTTCAGGAACATCTAAGTTAACCAACAGAAGAACACCTTGAACGTTTTCAGAGCGATTTGTAAGAGATGTACATATAAACTGTACAGGCGCTGCAATCTGTTTCATTCACAAACACCCTGCAGTCAAATAACAAAGCTACAACAAACAACTCCCAACTACACCCCTTGTTTAAAGGCCACTTTGTGTCTTCAGAAGGTTGCACACTTTGGGCTGAAAGGCCGCAAGTAATCCTCATATAGCAACCCTAGTCATAGTTAAGATTTCTACAAGATATGTTGCTCTTCAGAAGAAAGAAACACAAATCAGACTATTTACAAAACTGCTGCCCTTTTTGGGACGATGAATGATAGCGACTTTTATGAACCCAAGATACAAACGTAAAGTAATAGGGAGGGAGGTGAGCGCCAAGATATAGTGAGTGAAGACAGAAAATAGAAACGGGCACCAAAAGGAGGCAGAGGCAACATATAAATAATGAACCCAGAAAGAAAAGGGGATGAGTAGGAGTGAAAAAGAAAGACTGAGTGAATCATGTACACTGAAGATTGATCAAATAAAATAGGAACACACCTGACATGCCAGAGAAAATGAGAAAGAATAAGAAGAGAAACCCTCAAGCTCAAGACCCTGCTCCTTCAAATAAATGCACCTGTCTCTCAGACATGCACCAAGCAACCTCTTGTTAAACCTTGATATACAAAGACAGCTGATTAATAGAGTAATACGGCTGCGTGGGAGTTCTGTTTAATCCCCTGTCTCTCTCTTTGCCCCCTCTGCAATAACAACACAAGGTTGGCAGTTGAATCCACTGAGCTAACGGCTTCAACAGCTAACCTTGGCACGCTCAGTAAAAGCTGCCGCAGTCCTCAAAGGCTGTTTTCACGAGATGTTCCTTTAAAAAGAACCTGAACACATTCAGCGTCTTTGCAACCCTATCACGGACAGCGTCCCCCGTCTGGAAGCTGCTATTACCTCTGAGATAAATAATAAAATACATATGTCACTCACTCCTTCCTACGCTTTAGAGAGAAAACACACTCTTTTCAATGGAAATTAGACATCAAATAGACATTTTAATAGTGAAGATTAGAATTAAGTGCTGTACTTTTTGAAACCTCAACAAAGTGCATATCCTGCAGGTATATTCAATTGTTCCTGAATGTTTTATTTCTACTTTGGAAGAGAACAATACTTAACTGTTTAGGAGGAGCAGCGATATCTCAAAGCTGAGTATATACTCATTTGTTGGTGCAGAAATGTGTTAGGCTACAAACAGGATTTGAATGCATTGCATTGAAGGTAGCATAGTTTCTAGCTTGATTGAAAGACATTGTAGATGTAAGGTCAGTCTTTCTATTACCACTGTAATCCTACCAAGTGTTCAGAACCTGACACTGACCTTGACTCTACTTGTTTCAGAAGCAAATGCCACTCCAAGCCAAAGAAGACCAAAAAACGAAGGTCAAGAAAAAATAAGCTTAGAGCAGCTATTATAATCGTACTTGATCAATTGGTGTTGAAAAAGCAAAGTGGTTGTCTGTCTGTATTGGGCATAATTCAATGCCATTTTGCATTTTTTGTGCATTATTTAAAGTTAATTTATTTTGTTTTAGTTGCTGTATCAATATAGTATTTTTGATGTATATCTAATTTAATACATATTTACAAAGATATTTAAGTGGCCTGTTTTTAGTCAGCCATGATATAAGTGTAAGTGCCTCCATTACAGTTATCAGAATATAACCTATTTCCCACTCTCTGAAAGCCCCTGTAATCAGCCGAGGTGTATAGCAGTGCAAACTTCAGGTCGCCTGTATCTGTCAAGCACATTACTGTAACATGAGAGCCCCGAGCGATCATGCGAGAGACCAGTTCACACATTTCCCTGCAGTCTATGCCCTGATAATCACCCACAGGTGTATTAAACCTCAATTTCCCCCCTGAGTGATCCACAATATGTATCACCTGACACCTTACAGTGTGACCCCGTTTGTTCACACTTCACCGGCCCACATGCTGATTGGGTTCAACAGTTCATGATGTAACAGTGGAGAACCCCATCTGGTGACGGGTTCAGCTCCATTTAACACTGTGATTGGCCGGCTTAGGAACCCCTCAGCAAATCAGGCAAACAGTGACAAGGTTCTGACCGGTGCAGAGGGGGAGTGATCTAATGCGCCTGCGTCCATTACAAGGGGGTAAAAGTTGAGACGAAGCAAATGGTCGCAGCAAAATAGGATTGATCGACAACTGGCACAAACACAATATGGAGGACACCGTGGCCTCGTTTATTGTTGTATCGTCGCTGTCAGCTAACAGCTGGCTCTTAAGTGTGTACAATTTATAGATCCATCTTGCTGTCTTGTTACTGGTACAGGTGGCAGGGGGATTATTTTCTTGGCACATATCAGGACTCAAAAAATAAAGAAAGTTGGAACAGTAGAAGGCTTATACCTTTATAATATGTTTGGCCATGTGAATGTCTTTATTAGTCTCAAATGGAAATGAATAACCGGATGTTGCTTTATCGTGTCATACATTTTCAGATGAATTTGACCCTTACTAAAGTGTAGTATCTGATATCTCACCACATAGTGTTGTTTTGGTGAGTATGTCTATGGGATACACTTCATCACAAGTTAAGTGTTAACCTGCTGCCTTTCACTCCACCAATGACTAAAGGGACATCTATACCCTATCCATTTGAATGTGACCATCTCCAACGATATGTGTAATTGTCGCGTCCATGATGTAGAGCAGGGGTTCCCAAAGTGGGGGTCGCGAGATGATTACATTTTTTAAATTTGTATTAAAAAAAAATAATAATAATTAAAAAAGTATTATTTTGTATTATTATTATTATTATTATTATTATTATTATTATTATTATTATTATTATTATTATTATTATTATTATTATTATTATTATTATCCAGTGTTTCCCACATAATTTGATTATATGTGTAGGGGCACCGCACCCCCCCCCCCATGCAAATGAGCGATAATCTAATTAAATATGCGCATATTTTAATAAATTTCAGGAACACAATTCTGAACATTGGAGAAATTCAGGTTCGAAATTCTTGTTTCATTTTGTAGTCATACAGTATTAGAATCTAAAGTTTTTTACAGAAGGGATTTTGGATATCTCTTTTTATCACTCCATAATCAGAAAATACTGTCAACAGCTCAATATCAATTTTCGCCATGTTTTTAGGTATAAAATGTTAT